AATTCCTAGGGTCCTTTAGTGGGTGAGGAAAGGACTCTGCTATCTACACTTGCAGAATTGTAGCCTTACTGTACTATGGGTTCTAGAGCTCTGGAAAACTGGTCATTGGGGGATTGGAAGTATTATGGAGTTCAAGACCACCGAGAAAAAACCACCAGATTAATTAAGATTATAATTAGCCAAATTTATTAAAACTGCTAGCAAGGCTGCAGTCTCTAACCCAAATCAGAGACATGTTGCCCAGAAGCAGGTGAAGGAAGGGCTTTGAAAGGCAAAATCCACAAATACTTCATCTCTGTCGAATTTACAGGTATGTGAGCAACTGCCTTCCTCCCCATGCACATAGCAATAAGCCAGTTTGCAGATGCCAGAGCAAGCAGCTAATCATTTCACAGCAGTTACACAGTCCTGGAGAAGGGACAAAATGTCAGGGTTGGTGGGAACTTATCTTTCAGGAATCTAGGTCAGAGACAAAGGGCTAACTTGGGTGCCTAGCACAAAGTGGAGTTTTCCTTGACCATCACAAAGCACTGTCTACTGGCAAAGCATGGATATACTAAGCAATGATCTAATTAAACTTCAGATGAGACACACACATACCAGGGCTTCTGTTCTAAATTAAGAGAATGAAATGCTGACCACACAGGCAAAGAACACAAGCCAATCACTAAATCTACAGAGTCTAGACAAATATATTTTAATCAAAATGAAAAGAGAAAAGATAGATGAAAATCCATAAAAATTATTATAAGGCATAAGATAGATGCACAAAATTCAGTGAAAAACTTAAGAATAAACTAGGTGGGGTATGGAGATGTCTCCACTGGTAAAGTGCTTGCCGTGTGAGCCCGAAGACCTGAGTCAGATCCCTAGTGGCCACAGAAAAGATGGGAGTAGCAATGCACACATCCATAAGCCAGCACTTGGTGAGCACAAAGAAGCAGGCAGATCTCTGCATCTCATAGGCCAGCTAGCCCAGACAACCAGTGAGCTCCAGATTCACTGAGAAAACATGTCTCAACTAGGAGGAACAGGATCAAGGAAGATAATCCAGCATTGACGTTTGCCTCCTCATGCACTGGCACTACAAGCATGCATGTGCACATCTCCATAAACACACACATACACCATCCAAACAGACAATAAGTCTAAACTACTGAAAGACCTAGACACGCGCACATCTGTTCTGTAGACTGGAAATCTAAAGGAGACAGGTGACTCCTCAGAAAAGTGTAAATTATCAAGCAACTTACAATTAATGAGAACACAAGGAGACATCTACCCATTAGAATGTATTAAGAACAGGTTTGGGGATGGGGAGGAGCACACCTTTAATCCCAGAACTCTGGAGGCCAGCCAGTTCTACAAAGTGAGGTCCAGGACAGCTAGAAATACACAGAGAAACCCTGTCTCAAAACAAAACAAGACAAAACAAAAGAATGCACCAAGAAAGAAATTCGCAGACTTCAGAGTTGAAGTCTACTAAAGACCTAAAGACAGGCAATGCCTATTAAATACGCCATCTTGACCCAAAACTACTTTATGATACAGTAGAACCTTACCACCCAAACTAGACATGGACAGCAGATCAAAATCTAATTTGCAAACACCAATCATGAACAGGAAAGCAAGTCTAGATCAAGTATTAGCGAGTCAGATCACTACACTGAAATAGTACATAAAGCAAGTCAGGATTGCTCCAAGAATGAAAGAATGAGTCATAATTCTTCCATTCATGTAATCTACATTACATTTCCACAGGAAAAGCAATATGTATAGTTATCTATCTCAATATATGTCTTCTATTTTGGTTTTGGAAACAGGGTCTTGCTATGCAGCCCAGCCAGGCTTGTCTTGAGCTTTCTCCTCTTGCTTTTACCTCCCAAGTACTAGGATTATAGACATTAGTCACCAATCCTGAATCAATAGATTTCTGATAAAAACAAACAAACAAACAAAAAAAACTTGATAAAATTTGTCACCTATTTGGATGGTAAATCAAGAGGGGCAGCTTAGAAAGTTAACAAATACAATACAAGAAACCTCCAAAAGGCCTACAGAAAACCTCACATTTCATTAAACTTTAGAAGCACCTTCACTAAAATCAAAAATAAGGAAAACCACAGTCAGTGTTACTGGTCACTCTGTACCAGCTGTTTCACATAAGGCTAGAAAAGGAAATGTGCTTCTTGTCTACAAGTAATACGACAAACTTAAGCCAAACAGAATTTACTGGAAGAATTTCAGCAACTCCCAAAAGAAATTCAAAGCTAAAAATAACAAGTAAATACTAGGGATCTGCAAATGGCCATACAGAAGAGTGATCTCTGTAACAGGACAAGACCAATTCAGTTAGCCACTCTGCCAAGATCACTAAGTACCAAGCACTCAGTAATTCATCACTGAGATGCAAAGGCTTGCAAAGAAATACCCATCTACCACCAAACTGTTACAGAAAGGTTAAGAAGGTGTGTGTGTGTGTGTGTGTGTGTGTGTGTGTGTGCACACGCTCAAGTTCATGGAAACCATCAGGTGTCCTACTCTATCATGGTCTATCTTACTCCTCCCAGACAGGATCTCCAGCTGACCCTAAGCTAGGCTAGCAGTGAGCAAGACCCAGCAATCCTGTCTCTCCCAAACCCCCATAGAGCCCAGGTTGCGAGCCCATGAGCTACTCTCAGCTTTTTACACAGGTCCTGGGGAAGTGAGCTCAAGCCCTCAGGCTTGTGCGTCCAGCTGTCTTACCCACTAGGCCATCTTTGTCTCTGGCCCCAAGAGCTTCCTTTTGTAACCATACACTTACTTTGTCTTTTAGAGCAGAAGTCTAAAAAATGAAAAAGACATATATATAAGGAGCTGGACTATGGTTGAATGGTTAAGAACACTGACTGTTCTTACAGAGGACCTGATTTGGTTTCCAGTACCCTCAATGGATGGCTCAGAAACACCTAACTCTAACCTAACTCCAGTTCCAAGGAGAGCTGATCCAGCGGCCTTTGTACTGATACACACACACACACACACACACACACAATTAAAAATATAAAAATAAATATATCTGTAAAAGAGCACAAATTGTTGTTTCTATAATCTTTGGTGTGAGACCAACCTTCCTGAAATATACAAATCCTAAAAGTCATAAAGAAGATCTGTCTATAAAAACAGATCTGTCTGTAAAAAAAAAAAAGTAAATAGATTTAACCATAAACTTTTTAAAACTTCTGCACTAAAAGCTAAAATTTAACAAGAGGGAAAAACAAGCTTCAGCACTTACAATGAAAGGTCCTTGATGCACGAAGAGAATCAATAAGATAAAACAGCAATCTACATCCTGATAAATAGGCAAAAGATACTAGGCATTTACAGGAATTCAATACAAATGACCAATAAGCCAAGGATGCGAACACATTAATAACTATGAAAAATGCAAATGAAAATGATTTGCTATGAAAATGGCAAGATGGTGAAGACTGGAAATAATGACTACTCTTAAACTTAACAGGTCCTCTAATACCCACCCTGGATGCTGACATGGGCATTCTCCTGTGAATGCTATCATTTACTAGTATTGGGAGAAAAACAAGTTTCCCTCCGTGTTAATTAGCATTCAATTATCCAAGTGATTCTCAAATTTTGAACCCATATAGGCCCCTAAAATTTAAGGAGGGCATGAATGGGTTGCCAGAATTTAGGGGAAGAGACTGCAGAGGGGTAAAGGGGATTTGCAGTAGGAAAATACTTTATATTTTTATCATGACAGTGGTTCTATTACTGTTTTTATCCAAAATCATGTAACTTTGTGATAAAAAAACAGTGAATATACTTATGTAAATCATACCTTTAAAAAAATTCCTTTAAAAATTCCGGGGGGGGGGGGGCTACACCCAGTGGGAGAGCATTTCAGTAGCTTCCTTCTCCAGCAGCAACAACGAAGGGCCTAGAGTTTGTGTTTATATTTAGCATTTAGAAATGTAAACACTTTTTAAAAGCTTTTACACATGGATTTTAAAATAATGCATTAAATGTAAATAATGTGTTCTTTCCCAAAGTAACTATTATCAAAATCAAAAAAGGATTTCATGAGAAAAGGCACATTGCTGTCTAGATAGGAAAATCTCCTTAATGTCTAGCCTCAAATAGAAATGTGTGCTGGGATTCATTAGCTGTTTCAATCAACTCTTACAACAGTGTAAGTCACACGGCCATTGGGAAACTTCGCTGTACACTCATAAAGGCAACGAAAAGATGAATAACCTCTGAATACGATATGAAAATAATGAATTTTACAGTGTGTGACAGGGAAGTTCCTGGAAACCACACTTTGAAAACATCTGATTTAGTCAATACAAGATACTATCATATTCTAGATATGGAGTAGTAACAAAACTGTAGCTCTCCTTAATCAGAGAAACAGTATGTATCCCACGCGGATGACCTGTTCTTCAACGAGTTAGACATAGAAACTCTCAAAAGCATATGAGAGTCAGAAAAGGTAAGACAATCAAATCATCCTTCCATCTTCACCCTTCGCCTACTGGACAAGGAAGGTAGCGAAATGTCTGGACTCAAAGACAGAGAGAGACTCAGAAAAACGATGGGAAAGTGGGTAATTTTAAAAGAAAAGCCACAAATTCAGTGTGAGAGACAGCAGAACAAACACTGCTCTTTGGTCACATGGTTCATGGAACTCAACGTTGTGAAAATCACGTCACATCCCACATGTTTCACAGATGGCTGAACTACAAGCCAAGTGACTGTTACTTGTACCAAATCTCTAGTGACTGACTGAGAAAACCCAAAGCCCCAAAGTCCGGGTTTAACCCGCTAGCAAGGTGCTAGGTCCCACCTGAGACGTTCTGTTCAGGGGTCTACATCACTTTCCTAATACTAGGTCTGAGTCGGGTGCTCTGTACTGCGGGGTGGGCCGCAGGGGATCCCGGCGTCCCTGCCTCTGGCAGTGAGGAGGCGGAACCGGGAGCGCGTCGGGCCCCTTCACTCACCTGGTCGCTGCTTCAGCGCCATCACAGACACCAGGTAGTGGGCGATGTCAAAAAAGGGAAACATGGACGTGCGGGAGAAGGCCAGAGTCAAATCATCCCACGGGTACTCCATGACGACTACCGACCCCGCCGGCCCCAGCAGCCGCGGCTGCCGGTTCCCCTCCGGCGGCGGGGGTGGGGGAGGGGACGGCCGCGCCAGCTCCAGTCGTGCGCGTGCGTCCTGGCACCTGGGGGCGGGGTCCGGAACGGGGGCGGGGCCGGAGCCGGAACGAGAGGCGGAGCCAGCGGATTATACCCAGGCCCTGGTTCTCCTAATAAAGGTATGACATTTTCTCAGTGCAGCAGTCAGTGCCAACCGACCCAGGGGGCAACGCTCAGAGTCAGAATCTATGTAAAGGAATGCCATTCGTCTTTTTCTGAACAACCACTATGTTACTCATTTATTACTTAGTGAAGATATGAAAAATAAAACGGTAATCCATATCCCCATGAAACTTGAGTTTTCCCAGGGGAAACTTTTTTATTTTTTTAAGGACTCACGGAATTTCACAAAGCATAAAAAGTATGGATGCCATGCCAAAGCAGTTGGTTAGGGAAAGCCATTGCAGGGAAATGCATAAGGTATTAAAAGCTAGTCTGTAAATGTTAGAAGTTATTTTGACTAGACTACAACCTGAAAAATGAAATTAGAAAAGAAATTAAAAAGCCTTCCACAGTGAAACCAGGCGTTTTAAGTTCTTGATCAATCGCTACATTGTGCTCAGTCTTGTTTACCAAAAGCCCTACCATTGTGCTAAATTGGTTGTTCAGATGAGGGAGATGGGCAGGTGGCTGAAGTTGCAATCCAGCTCCAAAGATTTATAAGAAGAGACTAGGGAAATCAGAAATGTACTCACTGGTCACAGATAGAGAAAGGCTGACAAGCAGAGTAAAAGTGGATGCAAACTCCACCTGTAAAGCCAGCAAACGGAGCCAGGTTTTGAAAAACAAGAAAAGGAACAATCTGCGGAAATTGGTTGAAAAAAGAACTAGAAATAAAGGAAAGAAGTGAGGCTGGGTAAGAAAAAAATAAGTAAGTTTAGCACATTTTCATTTGACATGTCAACAGGTCGCTCTGTTACTTGGAATATGTAAACACATGAACTATTGAGGGAAGAGGTAGGTGACTGTTCTATTGCTGCAAAGGCAATCGCCTTTTTCTCCTGAATTTAACCTTTAATATTAACTCACTTAGCAAATGTTTTTTACATACATGCTTTATACCGCGAACATGTTACTGACTGCCAGAGGCATTGTCCTAAACACCAGGCTTAAAATGTAAGAAAATGGTAGCAACTTTCTTCATTTCATAACCTGTCAAGAAACAATGGCCTTGATAAGATACTTTTCTGGGCAAACACTTTTTATAGTGAAACATTTCTTTTCAGCTTCTGGCACACTTTGTTCGTCATAAAAAATAACAAAGTAAGAAACACTCAAGGCTTTATTAGCTCTTCTCAGAGATATTACAGGCTCCCTGACATTTGACTTAACACATGAGTGTAAAAGTAAGTTTGCTCACATCTGCCTAGCGCCTGAAGACAATTTGCTTCTGGTCACTATATAGACTACTTGGTCTAATGAAGTGCTGTGTAATTGAGAAAAACAGGAGTGAACTGAGAGAAGACTTAGAAGAGGAAAGAAGAAAGGCAGGATTTGGGACAGTTCATCTGGGACTACTCAGGCTTGTCCGGGCGTCTGAAAGTGATTTACAAAAGTTGCTGATAAAATAAATCCAAGATATACACCTTAGAAAACAAAGCTGGGCTAATGGGATTATCCTCTAAGGAACTTTGACTCGAGCTCCTTAATGCATTTTGTTGTGGTTGTTGTTGTTGTTGTTGTTTAGAAGCATGTGAAACTAGTAAACTAGTATTTTTCTAAACCAAGTTTCTCAACAGTAGAACCACAGACATTTGAACTGAACAATTCTTTTTGGGCTGCCCTAGGTATTGTAGGATATTTAATAGTATCCCTTGTGCATTCACACACACACACACCAGTTGTAATGATCAAAAATATCTCCAGATATTTCGAAATGTTCCCAGCGTGAGGAAGATTACAAAATCATGCACAGTCCAGAGCTGTGCTGGTAAATGAATCAAGGACAGTGCCTCTATTAATACAAACATTACCATAAGGTTAGCCAGAAGGTTAATTCTAGAACTGCTCTCAGAACCCATGTTAGTACCTGCTTGTTCATGTCTCTCTCTGGCTCCATGTCTGAGATACTCAGCTTCACAAAAGGCATTTCCTTTCTTTCCTGCAATACTGCTTCCCAGCCACTGAGTGGCATGCCTTTATCTTTGACAAATTCTTTATAATAATTTTTTTAAGAACCATGAAGAGTGGAAGAAAAAAGCAGTTTCATTTTAAAGGGAACAATTGTATTTTAAAACTTTAGTATTCTGGACAGGTATTTTTTTGTCTGAAGTTATTTTCTTAAATTAATTACACGTATTTATCGTGTATGTGGAGGTTATGTGTATGTGAGTCAGTATACATATGCAGGTCAGCGAACAACTCAATGCAAGTCAGTTCTCTCCTTCCACCATGTGGGTCTCCCAGGTATCAAACTCGGATCCTCAGGCTTGGTGGCAGATGTCTTTACCCACTTGAGCCATCTGACCACCTCACCTAATATAATATTAATAACCTATTAAATAGCCACTTAGGCCGGGCGGTTCTGCCGCACGCCTTTAATCCCAGCACTTGGGAGGCAGAGGCAGGCAGATTTCTGAGTTTGAGGCCAGCCTGGTCTACAGAGTGAGTTCCAGGACAGCCAGGGCTATACAGAGAAACCCTGTCTCAAAAAAACAAAAACCAAAAAACAAAACAAAACAAAACAATAGCCACTTAATAGCTTGTCAGTATCAAATTATATTACAAAAAATATGACACAGAAAACACAAGGACTTTATTTGGAGGGGAAGGGGGTGCGGGTGGTGGGAGACAGAGTTTTTCTGTATAGCCCTGGCTGTCCTGGAACTCACTCTGTAGGCCAGGCTGGCTTTGAACTCAGAGAGCCACTGCCATTTTGGGAGCCTCTGCCTCCCAAGTGCTAGGATTAAAGGCATGCACCACCAGTGCCTGTCTTGAATCTAATGTTCAGAATTATAAAGGAAGGAGAAACTAGAGAATGCTGGTCACTCAAAATACCGACCACATCCAATCAGCACAGTGAGACTCTGCCTCCTGAGGTTTCAGTGATTAAGTCAGTCTGAGAATCCACTTAACTCTACTCGGTATGTATTTGGTAATAACACCGTTGGTGTTGTATCCGGGGAATACATGACCTTGCCCCTTATTACTACACTTGAAATGAAAATCCTTTTCTCTAAGTATCAGCATCATTCATACTTCCAGTAAATATAAAACTCTTAGACTTACCTAAATAAAAACCTGATGTCACCAAAGGAAGTATCTACTGGTCAGCAAAGCTAAACTGCAAGTCACCAGTATGGTAGCTGCCAGTACTCTGTGGTTCACAACATCTGTAGCAATCTATCTCTGGTCAAGAGTGATAGGGAAGTGGACCAAAAAACTTGAAGAAAATAAAAATATTTAGAGGCCCCAAAGATGGCTCAGTTAGTGAAAATCCTCGCTACACAAACCTGATGATCTGAGTTTAATCCTCAGAACCCACAGTGACAGAAAGAATCAACCCCCACCAAAGTTGTCCTCTAACCATCACCTGGCTTCCTTGACAAGCATGTGCCTATGTGTGCATGGCCCCCACATACAATGGTGATGGTGATGATGCATGCATGTGCCTGTGTGTGCATGGCCCCCACATACAATGGTGATGGTGATGATGTGGTGGTGGTGGTAGTGGTGGTGGTAGTTTGAATGAAAATGATCCCCTATAAGCTTATAGGGTGTAACACTATTAGGAGGTGTGTCCTGTCAAAGTAGGTGTGGCCTTGTTCTGGGAAGTGTGTCACTGGGGGTGGGCTTTGAGGTTCCATATGCTCAAGGCAAGCTTCATGTTGCTTTCTCTGCCTGCTGCCTGTGGATCCAGATGTAGAACTCTCAGCTACCTCTCCAGCACCATGTCTGCCTGCATGCTGCCATGCTTCCTGCCATGATAATAATGGACTAAACCTCTGACATTGTAAGCCAGCCCCAATTAAATGTTTTCCTTTATAAGAGTTGCCTTGGTCATGGTGTCTCTTCACAGCAATAGAACTTTGACTAAGACTGACAATAACAGCAGTAATAACAGTAGCAGTAGCAGTAGCAGTAGCAGTAGCAGTAGCAGTAGCAGTA